TGTTGTTGTGAGAGAGAATTACTATGTACACAAGTGCCTTGTAAGGTTTTGGTTGGGCTGTGCCGGTGGAAGGTCTTTCCCTCGTCGTGTCCTTCCGTTTGATTGTGTTGGTAACATGAAATTCAGGCGCAGCAACGGTGAGTAGCTGCGCTTTGAGGAGAGCATTGTCTTCCTGGTTTTCATCGTATGCACGACGGATAAGCTCCCTGGTTTCATGTGATAGTCTGCCAGATGTCATCAGCATAGCCAACTCATCGATAACCTCCTCCGAAGAATCGGAGCTTTCCGATTGAGATTCGGGGAGATAGTTGAGCCCCCCGGTGCTGATGTTTGTCATTCCTATTGCAACTTTGTCGCAGTCGATCACGCCCTCTAGCCCATGACCACCAACACAATCACTGAGGCCATACTTGATCAAAGAAAACAAACCATTGAGAGCCGAGATCACGCTTGGGCCAGTGAGCACTCGTGCCTCTGGAGACCGAAGCGAGCCCAGCGCGACAGGGCCTGAGCAATGAACGAAGGTCAAGTGATGAGCAAGCCTGTACACGAAAGCATCCCTAGTGGATTAATACGCTCGCAAACCTTCTTACCTGGTGGCTGATAGTCAGGCAGGAAAAACGAGAAGACGCTTGTTATGTCATGTGCCATTTGACCGATTTTCTTTCTGAGGCGTCGGTCGAATTGTACCCATGTGTAGGGGTCGTTCAACTGGAATTCCAAGGACCTCATCAAACCTATCAGCTTGATAAGTGGTTCCTTAAGAGCGCCATGGGTTGGATCATTGTCCAGTAACACATTGCGAGCCTCTCGGTCAAGGAGAATGGCGGCGAAAGTTGCACGTAGGTCCCCGTAGCCACCAGAACCGAAAGTTGTCGTCCGGCCTCCCTCGGTGAAGTTGAAGTGCCCGCTGCGAAATGCCGTCGCAATCTTCTCGACGTAGCGAGGCGATGGATTGGAAATGGAAAACCGTTGTGCAAACCTAGTCGACAGGAACGGCGCTGTGTTTGGATGATAGAAGTAGTGGTCAAGTGTTGCATCTGTTTCGTAATGGGCATCCCTTGGATCCGGGTCAGCAAGGCTCGAGAAATGGACGGGGTTCCTGAAGGAAACATCCGTTCCAACAATCACAACAGATGATTTCATGTTTTTCCGCACATGCTTTCTTCCAGAGTCGTCCACGACCTCAAACGCCGAGTCGGCCATCAGAGATCCATCAGATCCCAGGTTGTATGCAGTAACATCATCGTGACTTGTACCCGACCAGTCATCTGGTATGAAACTACCTACATCCAGATTCGCAAGTATTTCTTGGTGGTTTGGAATAGAAGCACCGCTAAACACATTCCCTTGGACCACAGAGACATCGCACAAACATGAATTGTCCTCTGCTTCACGACAAGAAGGGATGTTGGTGCAGTTTGACAGGATGGCTTGAATGTCACCTTCCCAATCCACTCGGAAGAAGGTCTTGGTATCTTCGCGGACGATAAATGCTGTATTGTTGGATCCAACTTCAGCTGGGGGCACGTGGACTATCCCGACCTTGCCACTATCGCGAATGATCTTCGCTTGTAAAGAGCATGGCTGGTCAGTCCAAAAGTGGCTTCTATCCCAGCATTTGGTCTTATCGGTGTGGTCACACGGTTGGCGAGGTGCCTGTTCGCCTCTCCGGCATAGCCCAAGTTGACACCTCGTTTGCGCTGTCGAGAATCGGGTCCGTTCTGCATTGAACTGGGAGGAAAGCAAAACAAATTAGACCGTTGCTGGGTATGATATTGCAGTTTCTAGCATTCAGAAACTTAGTTCCTCTGAATAGTGGCTTGAAGAAGAATTTGTACCTTCGTTGAGACAACATGCCAGTGCCGCTTCAAGCCTGGGATCACTACACTGGATGCGGTTCCGTTGCCAACGGGGGACTATTGCTTTCCCATCGTTGTAAAATGCATGATGCACACATGGTGGCCGAACATACTCGTAAAAGACACCTCCTACCGACACAGAGCGAATCGCATCAACAGAGCATTCTCTGCCCAAGCATGCCACGGTCTCGTTTAAAACAACCACAGACAGATAGTTGCACATGCTACCAGCGCCTGCATTGCAAAGTTTTTCATAGAGATGGCTTTCAGGTTCCAAGATGAACTGAACAGCACTGGGATGCAACATTGGTGGGTCGTTGTGAAGTTCTGCCTTGGACGAACTTCCCAGCAACCGATACGTTGCACCTCTGACAAGGAAATGCCTGGTCGGAAGGTCGGAACAGAGTGGATATCCATCACCGATGTATTTTCTTGATACTCCCATTTTCGGCAATCGGTCTCGCAAGAGATTGTTTATTCTCATTGGGTCAATTCTATTGTTTGTTTGGGGTTCGATGTTCCCGCGAAGCTTTTGTGCGTGGAACCCAGTCCACGCCCTTGGGAATGCGACGCGCGTGAGCAGACTAACCGGCATATGAAGGCAGAACATATGTGTGACTTACCTCGCATACTCTTCAATGTCATCGTTGGAGTAAACCCTCACGGGCTCTCCATTGTCATCATGTATCATCGTGCCATTGGTTGACAATTGGAAGAGACCCGTTGTGAAGAGCAATGATGGCACACATGCTGGCTTACGAGGGAGGCCGTTCTACTGCAGCCGTCTGGTCAAGGGAGGGAACCCTCGCTTTCGCCGACGAGAACTATGCGAGGGAGGTGATGCAGCTCTTCACAACGGGTCTCTTCCAATTGTCAACCAATGGCACGATGATACATGATGACAATGGAGAGCCCGTGAGGGTTTACTCCAACGATGACATTGAAGAGTATGCGAGGTAAGTCACACATATGTTCTGCCTTCATATGCCGGTTAGTCTGCTCACGCGCGTCGCATTCCCAAGGGCGTGGACTGGGTTCCACGCACAAAAGCTTCGCGGGAACATCGAACCCCAAACAAACAATAGAATTGACCCAATGAGAATAAACAATCTCTTGCGAGACCGATTGCCGAAAATGGGAGTATCAAGAAAATACATCGGTGATGGATATCCACTCTGTTCCGACCTTCCGACCAGGCATTTCCTTGTCAGAGGTGCAACGTATCGGTTGCTGGGAAGTTCGTCCAAGGCAGAACTTCACAACGACCCACCAATGTTGCATCCCAGTGCTGTTCAGTTCATCTTGGAACCTGAAAGCCATCTCTATGAAAAACTTTGCAATGCAGGCGCTGGTAGCATGTGCAACTATCTGTCTGTGGTTGTTTTAAACGAGACCGTGGCATGCTTGGGCAGAGAATGCTCTGTTGATGCGATTCGCTCTGTGTCGGTAGGAGGTGTCTTTTACGAGTATGTTCGGCCACCATGTGTGCATCATGCATTTTACAACGATGGGAAAGCAATAGTCCCCCGTTGGCAACGGAACCGCATCCAGTGTAGTGATCCCAGGCTTGAAGCGGCACTGGCATGTTGTCTCAACGAAGGTACAAATTCTTCTTCAAGCCACTATTCAGAGGAAGTAAGTTTCTGAATGCTAGAAACTGCAATATCATACCCAGCAACGGTCTAATTTGTTTTGCTTTCCTCCCAGTTCAATGCAGAACGGACCCGATTCTCGACAGCGCAAACGAGGTGTCAACTTGGGCTATGCCGGAGAGGCGAACAGGCACCTCGCCAACCGTGTGACCACACCGATAAGACCAAATGCTGGGATAGAAGCCACTTTTGGACTGACCAGCCATGCTCTTTACAAGCGAAGATCATTCGCGATAGTGGCAAGGTCGGGATAGTCCACGTGCCCCCAGCTGAAGTTGGATCCAACAATACAGCATTTATCGTCCGCGAAGATACCAAGACCTTCTTCCGAGTGGATTGGGAAGGTGACATTCAAGCCATCCTGTCAAACTGCACCAACATCCCTTCTTGTCGTGAAGCAGAGGACAATTCATGTTTGTGCGATGTCTCTGTGGTCCAAGGGAATGTGTTTAGCGGTGCTTCTATTCCAAACCACCAAGAAATACTTGCGAATCTGGATGTAGGTAGTTTCATACCAGATGACTGGTCGGGTACAAGTCACGATGATGTTACTGCATACAACCTGGGATCTGATGGATCTCTGATGGCCGACTCGGCGTTTGAGGTCGTGGACGACTCTGGAAGAAAGCATGTGCGGAAAAACATGAAATCATCTGTTGTGATTGTTGGAACGGATGTTTCCTTCAGGAACCCCGTCCATTTCTCGAGCCTTGCTGACCCGGATCCAAGGGATGCCCATTACGAAACAGATGCAACACTTGACCACTACTTCTATCATCCAAACACAGCGCCGTTCCTGTCGACTAGGTTTGCACAACGGTTTTCCATTTCCAATCCATCGCCTCGCTACGTCGAGAAGATTGCGACGGCATTTCGCAGCGGGCACTTCAACTTCACCGAGGGAGGCCGGACGACAACTTTCGGTTCTGGTGGCTACGGGGACCTACGTGCAACTTTCGCCGCCATTCTCCTTGACCGAGAGGCTCGCAATGTGTTACTGGACAATGATCCAACCCATGGCGCTCTTAAGGAACCACTTATCAAGCTGATAGGTTTGATGAGGTCCTTGGAATTCCAGTTGAACGACCCCTACACATGGGTACAATTCGACCGACGCCTCAGAGAGAAAATCGGTCAAATGGCACATGACATAACAAGCGTCTTCTCGTTTTTCCTGCCTGACTATCAGCCACCAGGTAAGAAGGTTTGCGAGCGTATTAATCCACTAGGGATGCTTTCGTGTACAGGCTTGCTCATCACTTGACCTTCGTTCATTGCTCAGGCCCTGTCGCGCTGGGCTCGCTTCGGTCTCCAGAGGCACGAGTGCTCACTGGCCCAAGCGTGATCTCGGCTCTCAATGGTTTGTTTTCTTTGATCAAGTATGGCCTCAGTGATTGTGTTGGTGGTCATGGGCTAGAGGGCGTGATCGACTGCGACAAAGTTGCGATAGGAATGACAAACATCAGCACCGGGGGGCTCAACTATCTCCCCGAATCTCAATCGGAAAGCTCCGATTCTTCGGAGGAGGTTATCGATGAGTTGGCTATGCTGATGACATCTGGCAGACTATCACATGAAACCAGGGAGCTTATCCGTCGTGCATACGATGAAAACCAGGAAGACAATGCTCTCCTCAAAGCGCAGCTACTCACCGTTGCTGCGCCTGAATTTCATGTTACCAACACAATCAAACGGAAGGACACGACGAGGGAAAGACCTTCCACCGGCACAGCCCAACCAAAACCTTACAAGGCACTTGTGTACATAGTACTTGATGGAGGCATGGACGCTTATAACCTACTTGCTCCTCACTCATGCACACCTGTCAACTCCCAAGGATTCAACTTGCTGGAGCAATACAACTTGGAACGAAGAGACCTTGCGTTATCAGACGGAGAACGCACGAGGATCATTGACGCCGAGAATCAGCCATGTGACCAATTCGCCATTCACCCTGAGATGCCTTTCGTCGAAAGGCTCTACAACGAAGGAGAGCTGTCCTTTTTTGCCAACGTAGGTCAGCTCGACGCCGAAGCAACCACAGGCAACTACCACGAGGTGACGAGATCTGAATTGTTTGCTCATGACAAGATGAAATTGGAGCTCAACAGGATTGACCCATGGGATCAGCAGCTGAATACTGGGATCCTCGGAAGGATATGCGATTCACTACTGGCAAAGAACGACACTTGCCAAGCCATCACGGTAAGGGATTGATACGGCCGTCTTGCATTCCCACGTACTTGGCAGGTAGGCAGAGATCTCATTACTACACTTGTTCATGTTTGTTTTAGATCCAAGATGCTACGGTTGCTACCGTCGGCGGCATTCCAGGAACATCGAGAACTCCCCTGATAGTTTCTGTTGACGGCCTCGATGCGTTCGCGCCCGTACACGAAGGTGAAACGTTCGACGTCAAGGACTACGTTGCCCAACTCAACAAGGCAACTTCGCTTCACAGCAGCGTGTTTGGTGAAACATGGTCTCGAACGCTTGAGCAAGCAATAGCCGAGGCGGAGCAGCTTCCAACCGCACTCAGCAACGTGACTCTGACGCAGTCCTATCCGAACGATCCCATCGAATACACCGGGAAAAGCCAGATGCTGTCAAAGCTTATTCTGACACAGAAGGCCAGGGGGTCCGACCGGGATGTCATCTTTCTGAACCTTGGTAGTTGGGATCACCACCGGTCCATGAAAGTGGGGTTGGCTAAAGAACTTCGTGGCTTGGATCAGGCACTGTCCCTTTTCGAAGCGGAAATGAAGGCCCAAGGATTGTGGTCCGATGTAACTGTCGCCGTCACGAGCGAGTTTGGGAGAACCTTGACGTCCAACTCTAACGCGGGGTCCGATCACGGGTGGGGTGGCCATGCCTTCGTTTGTAAGCATCAGACCTGCTTGCTCTGGCTGGAAGCACCGTTTGTGGCGACTTTGTCTCTCACAATACTTGCGCTTTTGCTTGTGTCTCATACATACTCAATACACCGCTGCACCAAAAGTTGGAGGCAGCGTCAGGGGTGGGAAGATCCACGGGGAATACCCCTCCGATATCCAGCTTGGCGGGCACGTCAACATCGGCAGGGGGAGGCTGATACCTACATCCAGCTGGGAGTCCATGCTAACCAGTGCAGTTCAGTGGATGGGGGTGCAAGACGAGGCAGACCTCGACTATTGCATGCCCAACCGACACGGGTCAGGTGCGACTCCGTTTCTGTTCGACGATGTCTACATTGCGCACTAGCTAGACTGCACAACGCCCTGCCTACCTACATGTAGCATGCCTCGTGCTTTTGCCATTGACGGCTATTCGATTCGATCCAAACTTTGCTTGGCTTTGTCACCCAACGACCGAGACTTGCGCTCAAAAGTTGCGCTAGCTAGCTACCGTAAGCTCCTGCAAATGGATTTGATCTTCAGCCGTCGTATCAATTGCATAAAACCATGACGTGAACATTTCTTCGCCCATTTGGAACTTGGGGGCCAAAGTGCTCGCTAAAGATCCAGATGCCCTTCTTTCTTCGACTTCTCATGGAAACGGAGGAGTGATCCAGATGCCATCTTCCTTCGGCGGGACATGCTTTGAAGAAAACCTAATTCCACGGCTGCGGAGATGGATTTGATTGTCGTATCCCACACTTGTAGTAGACTTGAACGCACCTGCCCATCATTGTTTGGCTTTCAACTTTCATTCTTTGTTGCACAGCAGATGCAAGTTCAAATTTGGCCATGTCTGGGCACAGCCCCCAGATGGCCCATGGTGTCTTTGGACCTAAAATTCATGTCGGTTTGGCGAGCGAAGGATCATCAACCAGCTGCAACAGCTGTGGCTAGAGGCATAGCCGGGCAGTTTTTCTTCTGTCCTTGTGGCTGTGTCAACGGTGTCCTTCTCATCTTGCGAGAGAGTTGCTAGTAGTAATCGTGGGCTAAATTGCTAGCTAACAGCAAATGCGCTTGATGTCTTGGATCTTCTTGCTGGGAGTTGCTTCGACAAAGATCCCGGTGCTTATTTGGACCTAATTATTATACCGCACGCGCTTGAGCACGGAGACCTGCGATTCCGTTGCAATGGTATTATGCCATCGCCGGGTCTTTTTCTATTCGCGGATTTCCCACCAAAGCTCCTTTACTATAGAAATCGTCTACAGAACGCTGACTTGAGGTGACAAAAATTTGGCACGATCTTTGGATGCACGTGCGACACGTGGGGTGCTTGGCCCTTCTCGCTCTGAGAAAGATATGAGTTTTTGCTTCCTCTCCGTTCGAAATCTTGGCGGGGATGGCTCTTTTGAAATGTGTGCCAACATTCTAGCTCACAATTCCAACAATTTGGATCTCAAAAAGCCAATCGCATCCTTTCAGCCTTGTCTTTTTGCCTCCCTAGTTGACCATGTTCATCCGTTCCCTTGCTCTTTTGGGCCTCGCCCCAGCCTTTGCCCAGGTGACTGTGGATTTCCACATGGAACCCGTTGCAGTCCCAGAGACCGGTGCTGAAAAGCACAGCAATATTGCCACTGCCCAAGTCACCCTGAACGATGTCGTCTACGAAACTTCGTATGTTGATATTCTGAGAAGTGGTGACAGCGTTGACGGTGTGGTTTTCGGTGCTGTATTGGATGAGAACCAAACCACCGTCTACGCCTACCCCATGGACGATAGCTACGTCGAACAGCCTTTGGCTGCCGGTGTCGCAGGTCTTGCCCCTGTTGAGGCAACTACGGAACCCCTCATTTCCAACATTCCTGACTTCACCAGTTTGATCAAAATTCACAATGAATCTTTTGCAACAGAATTTGCCATGTTTGCTCATTTTGAGACACCTTTGCCTGCTTCGATCTACCGCATCAATGTTGACTTTTCCGACACATGCAGCGTCGAGGTGGACTCTTTGGAGGCTGTTGACTTCTCGGCGTGGGGAGGCCTCTGGGAACCATGCTCTGCCAAGGTCACACCATGGAACACCCACTTGGGATCCGAGGAACATGAGGTTCGTTTTCTTGCGTGTATTCCTCCTTCAGAGTCATTATTTACTTTTGGTTTGGTTTGGTTTGGTTTGGTCTCTAACACCGATGTTCCTGATTTGTATTTTAACAGCCTGATGCCAAGCTCCTGACCACCGACTATGCCACGTTCATGGAGTCCTACAATGACGGAGATCCCAGTGCCATGAACATTATCCACTTCATGCGCTATTTTGGATGGTACGCCAAGGATCTTACTGACGATGCAAGCTTTGATGCTCTCAAGGCCAAGTTCAACCCTTACCACTATGGTCACGTTACCGAGCTTTCGGTTAATGAGGCTGGTGACACCTATGCCCACAAGTGGTACACCACTGGCCGTGTTTCCATTGAGAACCCCGAAATCATGGGAGACAACAAGACCATCTACATCGCCGATGACGCCAACTTTGGTATCTTGACTCGTTTTGTCATGGACGAAGCCCTGGACATGAGCTCTGGATCTTTGTATGCTGCCAAGTGGAACCAAAGGATCTTGGCCGATACCGACCCAGCAGTTTCCAGGACCTACGGTGGTGTTGAATGGGACCTTGACTGGATTGAGCTCGGATCTGCCACTCAAGATGAACTTTTGGCCCTGGCTGAAGGTTTGACCTGGGACCAAATTTTCGAAGAGGGTACACTTACGGATGGAGCTTGCGCTACCGGTTTCACCTACGTCAAGGCAGGGTGGGGTCTAGTGAAGGAAGAGTGCCTCATGGTCAAGACCGGCATGGAAACCGCTGCTGCCTTCTTTGAGACTCGTCGTTATGCCGCCATGTTGGGAGCAAGCGCAGAATTGCAGTCCACCGAGGGTTTGGCCTTTGTTCCTTCTGAGATGAAGTTCTATGCTGCCATGTCCAAGGTCACCGGCGGAATGGACGAAACAGTCGAGCCCCTTGGAGATATCGCCATCCCTGCCAACCCATGTGGATGTGTCTTCCAATTCGACGTCGGCCCAACCTACGAACTCACCGTTGCCCGCGCCTTCCTCTGTGGTGAATACACCGCCGACTCTGATCCACCCCTTGATCCATTGAACTCTTGCAGCACTGAAAGTATTGCTAGCCCTGACAACTTGTTCTACATGGGACACGTCGACAATGGACCCCACCGTCTCTTGATTGCTGAGGACACCAGCCACCACCAAAACGATTACTTGTGGAGCTACAACTTTGAAACCGAAGAGATGACTCGTATCTTGTCCTCTGTCTATGGTTCCCAAATTACTTCCCCTGGATTTTTCAGTGACGACAAGGGATGCTACCTCCTCATGGCCGTGGTTCCCCACCCCTACAAGAAGTCCGACAAAGAGATGGTCAACGACGCTGGCAACACTCTTGGACTCGCTGGAAGTGTTGGATACATCGGACCCATTGGAAGCCGATCCACTGATGAGCTTTAAACAAAAGAAACGATGAACGAACGAATCCGTTCTTTGTTCTGTGTACGTATGGGCTGGAAAACGAGAGATGACACAAACTCCGCTGGAAAATGAACAGCCAATAATAAATAATAAAAGGAACCAGGCGCAACAGCAACTCGTTCAGCAGCTGCAGCAGCTCGAGAGGCTACTAATACTCCAGATGATAGAGAATCACAGCATGCAAGCCGCACATCACTGGATCCCCGACCAATGCCGCTATCAGTAAGGGGTTCCCTCCGTCGAAATGGATGGGCATTCTCGTCTTTCGTCCTTTACGGACCTTGCATTTTTGTTTTGTTCCAGAGAAAAGCCGGGGCTGTTCGATTGTCTGAAACGACGCCTAAGGTTTCTTCACCATTTGCTTCACAACCAGCAGGATCGGCTGCTGCAACACACAATCCATGGCAGCCTCTAGACTTCGTTCCAAACTGCTGGCTGGCAAGCACGATGCTGAAATGACGACGGAAAGAACCATGCACAAGAGGAGGGCTTGTTGTTCTTGCGCGCAGCGCTACCGTAGACTGTGCCGCGGGGAGTGGAAATGAATTGTTGCAATAGGTACGCTCAGCCGTTACAGGCAACACTCGAAAAAGGGCAGACACGATCACCCTGAACGGTGAACAACACATCCAACAACTTTTGTGGACACTGCAAAATTAAATGATCAAGGCAACAACGGGTGAAATGGCTGGGCGGTCGGCAAAAGAACCACTACGGTACTATAGCTAGGAGGAAATCTGCTACAACCAAGGGAAACCATGAGAGCGCCACGAGCCCTGACAGTGAGGAAAGAAGTGCCATGTGTTTCGAAAGCGTGGATTGAGTCGAATCTCAGTCTACCTTAGCTAAAGGCATCATCTGGCTCCATGCAGTCGGACCAGGTGCCACGGCATCAGCCATTGAGCACAGACGATGTGAACAAAACACCCACTCGTCCCGCGCGGCGGGAACAATGGTGGGAGTGGAAGGTGGCTCTTCGGTGTTCTTTTTCATTTTGGATCTTGCGAGAAAAGATCCCAGGATCCACTCGCACGTTTCAGAATGATCCATTGGAACAGAAGGATTTGAAGCATCGCAGCACCTCTTGTGCTCATTTTAAAAAGACAACACCCTCTCTCAATATCACACCACCACAATAAGCCAACAATGAAGACAAGCAACAAGAATATCTCGATTCAAGTGTCAGAGAAATGGGAGAAACTGGCGGCTTCTCCGTCGATTCTGGACAGTGACGTCTGCCAGGAAACTTTGAGCGAAGTCGATGAGTGGTTAACGCGATCTTCTCATTGGCTTGGCTTTACGCTTCGCTTTGACGGTGGCCTGCTGGATCCCATGACGGTCAAGGGAGGATTGCAACGTACGCTGCACCATTTCCCGGCCTTGGGAGCTCGAGTCGTCAAGACTGATAGCGACAAGAAGAATCTTTATCAGCTGGCATTGTTGCCTGACGATCAAGGAGTCGTTTTGGAGTATTGCAAGGGAACAACGTCCCGTCCAGACATTCATCTGCCCAATGACTCCGACACCCGTAAACTCTGGAAAGACGCTGGATTGGAAGCACCTGGGCCAGGATTCTCTGGGGAAGCAACCGAGAAGGATCCTCTGTTGAGAGCTCGTTTGATTGTCTTTGAAGAAAAGCAAGTTTCCTATCTTTGCATTGGCATCAATCATGGAATCTGTGACGGCAGCGGAATGTGCGATATTCTCCAAGTCTGGTCGCATTTCTGCACCAAGCCAGACCAGCCGCTGCCGGAACTCTTGGCCCGTCGCCGTCTCATGGGAAAGCGTGTATGGGAAGCTCAGAAACCTGCACAATCAGTTTCGGATCTCTATGAACGGCTGCCACGCGAGCTTGGATCTCCCCATGATCCCTTTTCGTTTTGGACCTTTCTTGTCAAGCTCTTGCCCAAGGCGATTTGGTGCATGGCTCGCCAGGAAGAAGTAGAGCTCCGGGTAAGCGCTGCCGAACTCGCCGCCCTGAAAGAGGCCGTTTCCAAACAGTTGCCAGATGGCGAGTGGGTTTCCACGTTTGAGGTACTATGTGCTTCTCTTTTGCTTACCAAGCAAATCACTTCCCCCACTCCCACTACCAGCAATGATACCGTACAACACAATCTACATGTAGCGTGCAATCTCAGGGGACGATCTAAGCGTTTCGCGAAGGACTATTTCGGCAATGCTGCATTTGACTTTGCCGAACCCATGACCATTGGTGCGAGTCCGGCAGCATGGAATGCAAGGGAGGTAACTGTCATGGCCCAAGAAGTTCACCGAGCCATGCGCAAAGGTTTGGCGGATGCGGAATCCAATGCCTGCAGAGCCAAGGACTGGTTCGAAGCGGCCCGTCATTTAGGAATCAAGAACACATATGATATGTGGTCGCCAGTTGTGTTTGATGTGCTCGAAGGGGATGGTACCTTTGTCAATTCCTGGGACAAGCGATGGCTCAACTGTGGTATGGGTGCTGGTGCCGAAAATGCTTCATGCATGGTGGCCTGGTTTGGAACCCTTCAGAACATGGTGGTGGAAGTGCCTCGGCACTCAGGAACGGGTGATTCCACGGTTTATTTTGGCTTGCCACCGACTCACGCCACGAAGTTCAAGGCGTTTTGCCGAAAGCACCAGGACTTGCCCTTTGTCGTAGTGAAATAGAACCACATGAATAATAGCAGCAGCGATGATAAATGTCCTTCGTATGCTTTGAAAGAGGGAACCGAGGCACCAAGCCCCAGCTGGTTCCAGCCACCACAGCTTCTATTGCAGATTGACGCTCTCGTGATAATGCAAATCAACCCTAAGCTATTGCCACACACAGTCACCACTCATTTACGCACCATATACATTGTGTTGGCAGTGCAAGCCGTGAAATTGTACATGGGGGAAGGTCATTGAGCCAAGATGCGGGTGTGGGTGGTAGAGGAAGATGCTTAGTGATGTACAAAATGTATGGGCTGGGTTTCCAAGACCTAGGAAGGGGTCAACAGTAATGGTAAGAGAATGGCTGCAGCTTCAGGGAGAGCATGGAATGAATGAATCATTCAATAGAATCCGTAACGAACTTGGTTTTATTGGATGCAAATGCTTTGGTTCCTCTAGTGTTCAGTAGGACACCCCCCCCTCCTTCTGTTCCAGCCCCACCATCCTTGCTGGTCACCATATTTCCACCTTACCCGCCCTTCCTCCCCCCTCTCAATCCCCCCCAGCTCCTGCGCTCTTACGTGGTAATCTTTCATTCGCGGCTTGTTCGAACATGTACGACCGCAATTGTTGACGTAAGTGTCATTGATTGGGACTAAAAGTGGCCATACCTCCTGCAGGGAAAAAGATCCGCTCAAAGTTTTAACTAAACAAGAATGCGAGAAAATTTGCAAGTATAAAGCCCTGGCGAATCCAATCACGCCTCCTTCCATCCTTTGTTTTTCTGTGGATGGCATGCTTGCCCCCAAGCCAAGATTATTTTACAACGCCTTGCTTCTGTCACTGCCAACAAAACTCAGTTCTCATACTCTCAAATGATTTTCTTCTTGCAGACCAGCATCTCAATTGCCCTTGTGAAAGCTACTTAAACCCGCAAAGCCAAACCCTTTGGCCACCATAATGGTCGTCAATTTATCATCCCTGATCCCATGGAACCCAGTCCTGAATTTCGACTATTCTTAGCTTTTTATTAAGACTGGCCCTCGCTGGCTTCCGTAGATAATTGACCTTCTCTGAACACTCGTTGGCAACTCTGGTTCAATCGAATTGAAGTCCTTTAAGCAATAAAATGAAGCTATTTTGACAAGAGCAGCAGAGCTTACATGTACGGTAGTGACCACACTGTTGTACAGCAGCTAGTCCAGCTACTAGGTCCGGTACTTGTTGTCCTCTACAGTCTACTCTCTCGTAAATCATGAAATAGTATATCCATTTCTCTATTATATCAACGCTTCCATGAGTTCCCCCCATGAGTCATGAGTCCACTAGTGACTCACACTTTCCATGTTACATGCTGAGACAAGCCAGACTACAGTACTGGTACCTTAAGCTTTATGAAAGTTCAAGAGTGCCTCAGGAAGATCAGCAATAGTTTCTCTAGCTAGACCTAGCTAGCTTGGTCATTCCAAAAGGTGCCACTGTGCACCTTGACTGATTTGCGAAAGCATTGCAATCTGCCAAACCCCGTTGTCCCATGAGAGACTGGATACTTCCCGTCATGATTATTTTACCAATACATAGGTAGCCTTTGTTGCAAAGCATTCTAGCTTGGTTTTTGGGCTTTGCAGACTGCGGTTTGGTCAATAACGGTACAGTAGAACTGCTAAATCAAGACTCTCTCATATCAAGACTTTTAATTAAGGAATCCCCCATCATGATAAGAGAGAGTAGACTGTATGTCATCACCTACCGCACAGTATCCAGCACCCCCCCCTGCGCACGAGCCAATCGCGGTAGATTTGTGATTTGATTCGCGCATCTTTGTCGCACTGCTGAATGCACGGACAAAGTTTGGGTGACCCGTCATGATGGCCTTGAGAGAAGCGATGTCGGCGTAATTGGGGGGAAGAAGATGGAAAGCAACCAGACATATTAGTACACAGCCCAGATAGCTCAACACCAGAAAACAAAGCAAATCAAATCAGTTCCAAAAGAAGGTCTTGCTGCGCGGAAGAAACTTTGGAGCGTCGGCGACCGGAACTCCAGGCCGGGAGACTTGCCTTTTTTGGCAGACATTTTTAGCCCACTCGCTTTTTGCCGCATTTGATAGCACTCGGCACCAGAACTCCAGCCTGAAGGCTTGTCTCTGTCAATCCCAGTAAAATTATTTAGTATTTGCCCTCAACTACCAGCTAGCAAGCTGAGGGCCTTTTGAACTTTATCTTGTGTGTGTGTGTGTGTGTGTGTGTAGGTGTGTGTACGTTGAGTGTTGTGTGAGATGTGTGATGTTGTGTGAGATGTGTGTAGACACTACTAAGAGTTAATCTACGACGAATCTACCATTTGGATGTTTATCCATGGGGTATACCGTTGCTTGCTGATTTCCAAATTCTGAGCTTAGGAATTTCGCTGTTTGCTTCATCAGTGGAGCAAGCTGGGGATGGCAAAAGATACAAGCCGGGTAGGCTGTGAGAAAATGTGTGTGTGTAGGTGTGTGTACGTTGAGTGTTGTGTGAGATGTGTGTGTGTGTGTGTGTCGCGTACATATGGTGCGGTTTCCCTAGTAAGATTAAGGCTATCAAAGCCTCTACGTACTTAGGGTGCGGTTTCCCTAGTAAGATTAAAGCTATCAAAGCGACTGATTAGCCTTGGGTTTAAGAAACATACAATAAAAAATGAAACCTTTGTCTTTAGATAAATGCTAGTTGAGGGCACTAGCCTACGGCTGTCTGTTCTCTCACTTTTTGCTGCATTTGATAAAAAGATACTTGAGAGAACCGAAGTCAATGTGGCCTCGGACAAGCAGAGGAAGATAGTTGCTGCAACTCTAATAGCTAGCTAGCCTGGAGGCTGGAGGCTTGCCTCTTGTCACACATTTAGCACTCTCACTTTTTGTTGCATTTGATAGATACCCGAAGATCGTTGAGAGCCCTATGGAGCCATGGCCACCTATCAATGCAGCAAAAAATGAGAGCTCTATCAACCCAACCGAGCGAACCGAAGCGATCGTGAAATTTGGATAATAGCTACCAGAAAGCAGTACCAGGTACGGTATTTATCGACTGTGCTTCTATCCTCACAAAGAAAGCCGGGATACCATACCTACAGCTAAAGGTACTTCTTTCTAGATCGAACAACAATAAAGCTATGGGGAAGGACAATCCAAGCAGGAAGGCCAAAGACAAGACTGTCTTTCAGTTCTTTGGTCCCTCTGCAAGGCCTCGAATTGGTGACGCCGCGACGACTGACGACGAAAACCGCAAGGAGGGCGAGGAGAACGCCCATAATGGCAACGGCAAAAAGTCCGACAAGACAAAAGGCCCAAAGACACTGAGTGTCTTTGACCCAAACCATAAGGACAATGACAAGAATGCCAACGACAAGAAAGCCAATGCCAACGACAAGGGAAAAGGTCCTGAGATTATGAGTTTCTTGGAACCCTCCCGAGCCCACTTGGCTGCAGCACAGGCGCACTTGCTACCCGCTGCAAGTTCTGAGTCTGAAGCCCAACAAGATACCACTTTGGAGACTATGGAGCCAACTGATGCGACATTGCCCATTTCTGGTTCTAACAGCAGTGTAGTGGTAGAAGCGCTGCCTGGGGCCATGCTATATCAAGGCGGAGAGTACATACCAGCAGCTGAAGCAAATGCTGACTATATCGATGACATTGATTCGGAGGAGTACGTTGTCCCGCAGCAAACCGTCGATCAAACTATATTGGCCTCTGCTCGTCCTGTGGAAGAATTGAATCCTGACGAACTTCCCTTGGCTCGACCATCGGAAGCCAGCAACAGCTCCAGGAAGCAAAAAAGTATGCTTGTGGAATCTGTATTTGTGTGTGTGGGATTGGCAGTTATTGCAGGGGCAGTGCTTTTAGTGGCCCTTCTTCTTCGTGATACGAGCAGAGGAAATGATAGTGGCCTAACACTGCGCGATGGCCTTACCAGAGAAGAATACATGCTGGGCTTGTTGCCTGACTACACTCAGGCTGAGATTAACAGGAACACCACTGCAACGTCAACTGCAACGGCAAGCCAGCGGTCTCCTCAGGCACAGGCATTCAATTGGTCTATCCATGATCCAAGGTTTGAGAACTACACGGATTGGAAGCTTGTTCAGAGGTTTGCCTTAGCTTGCTTGTACTTCTCTACTGGTGGACAGACTCACTGGACTGAGAAGGGGAACTGGCTATCGTATGAGATTGATGAAGCTAAATGGTTCTGGTCACGAAGTACCTTCCCCTTCGTTCGCCTCGCTTATAACCTCATCAATGAAACGAGTGAAGAGCTAAGCAATTTCTGGCTTGTTAACAATCGGTTGAACGGCACAATCCCACCTGAATTCTTCTTGTTGACCTCTATAAGGTCCATTGACCTCTCTGGGAATCAAAATTTGAGTGGCTCGATTCCTTCACAGAGTGGGAACCTACAACGATTGGAAATGTTTCTTGCGTCAGGTTGTGACTTGGCGGGGACCCTGCCAAGTGAACTTGGCCAACTTCATGAGCTATTGCTTCTGTCTTTCTGGGGAAACAACTTTCATGGCCGAATTCCTTCCGAACTTGGGTTGCCTGACCTAATGCTTTTAGATTTGGCTTATTCAAATCTATCAGGTTCTATACCCTCAGAGCTGGGACTCAACCGTCTCCCTCATTTACTCTTTCTTCATGGCAATCAACTAACTGGCACCATCCCAACTATGTTTGGTAATTCTACCATTGTGAGTCTTGATCTGAGTATGAACTCACTCACTGGCACCATACCTACAGAACTGGGGGGCATCCTTCCAGAACCCTGGCTGTACAATCATCTTTACGTTGAGCTGATCAAGGAGAAAGCACCTCATATTGATGAAAACATGGTGAAAGGTGCGATTGCTGGTATGATTTTTGACTTGGGGCCAGGGGGGCTGTGGCTTCATGAAAACTGCCTGACTGGCACTGTCCCAACAGAGCTTGGAAGCCTTTTACCAGCAGAGGAAGTGATGCTTTCATACAACAACCTGACCGGCAAGCTCCCCAGTGAGTTTGGGATGATGTCAGACCTTGAAAAGCTCAATGTCACTCACAACAAACTGTCAGGCAGCGTCCCAACAGAGATTGGATTGTTGGTATCATTGATGGTCTTGGATCTTTCAAGCAATGAGTTTCATGGCCAAGTGCCCAGTGAAGTTGGAGCAATAAAATCATTGAATGAGCTCCACCTGCAGAACAATAGCTTGACAGGCATGCTCCCCAATGAACTAAATGCCTCTATTGGGATGAGACTAGATGGGAATCAATTCTCAGGCACAATCCCGGAACACCTTTGCTCTAAGCTGTGGTGTGATTGTAGGGTCAGTGCTCCCTTGGTGTCAACTTGTGCGGATCTGAAGACCGTCCCGGGATGGCCAGGACGTTTTCCTCCACCCAGCACCTACAATGATTCTACTACCATTGTCCTCAACATCCTCACAGATTCATTTCCATCAGAAACATGTTGGGTATGGCAGCAAGAGACTAACATGAACAATTCTTGGGAAATTCTTCAAGATTCTGATGGTTCCCTTCCGCATCCTTGGCATTTGCATTCCTATATACTCCTTGTGGCACCCAACACAACCTACCAGCTGGATATTTTTGACGGCTTTGGTGATGGCATTGGCTCTGGATGGATCACCCTGACAACAGGCAATAATACAGTACTGTACACTTATACCAGCCAAGACGTCTTCTCAGAGATTAGGCTTTCCATTGCAATTGGGGCCTATGGAACAGTTGAAGTTGATTCTCATGTGACTGAGTCACTCCATGCCTTGCATTGCAGGACTAGATTTCACCCAGTCTGATTCATTTTGCACTTGCCCTCATATGTCTCCATTTCATGGCAGCAAAAGATGCACAGTGGATGCTAGATTTATATGTTTAAAGTATGTCACTTCTTGTTTGCGTGCATGATGTGCACGGCCCTAATAACAGGAACAAAGATTTAATGGAAAGATTTGATGCAAACATGGCGTTGTAGGATTCGTCGTACGGTAGAGCGTTCCTTCAATTGGGTTCCAACAACTCCCGTCAAATAAGTAGTAACATGGGATGGCAGCGTTAGCAGGGGGATGCCAAGAGAAAGAAAACCAGCCAAGCTTTGCCGGTACTAGTACCGAACACAACCTTGCTTTCCGAGATCTAAGGTATGGTGAATACGTCGTAGTTGTGGGACCATCATCTGTTCTGCTGCAACGCCAAAAACTGTACTGGAGAGAGACAGTGACAAAGACTGAGACAAAACGCCGGCTCTGGGCGAGAGCTGTCCTGTGGGAGTTTCTTGCCCGAGAACCAGCTGGGACCCCATCGTTTGTGCTTCAACGGCATGTATAGTGCCGACGTCGACTGCAAGCGGAGATGCGTGACATCCGATACTCTCGTTGCATGCATGCGGAGGCCCGAAATCGTGACCGACATCCTCGGGTTGATTTGATAGCTGACCTATTACTGCAGTTTCCTTTCGCTGATCATTGCTGCACGCACATTGAAATAAATGAAGGCGTGCCGTATCTATCTATCCTCCCGCAGGATGGCCATCAGGAAGCATGCAGCAGCAAGGCAGAGATGTCATTCCAGAGCGAACTCTTACATACAAAGCTGCAGTTTGTTTGTGGCGATAAATGCATGTGCTGGTACGGTACCGTCGTTAAGCAAGCAGGACATGGCGGAAGCGCAACGCGAGATCGGGAGGTTCGTGCAGCTCGTTCTTTTCCTAGCTAGCCTTTTACAGTCTATCTTTTTCGTATCAGCTATGGCTACTGCAATAGTGGCAGTATTGGAGAGAGATTACTGGTCTGACTGGTTGTTGCATCGGAAAGCCTCTTGTAACGTTGCGTTTACGAGCTGAAACTGAGAGGCGAGCGGCATGCATTCGTGGATGCGCTGTCGAATTGGTTGCGACGAACTCCATTGCTGCAGTCTTCTTTCTTCGTGTCCTCTGATGTTCATAGCTAGCTAGCTACCAGTCAAATGTAATGAACCGAGGCTTGGTGGCTCTGGCTTGTGGTGTGTGTGGTGACGGAGCGGCGTTCGATTGGGAGACGTTCCCAAGTGGTCGAAAACTGCATGGTCGATTTATTGATCGCACTGTTCTTTGCTTGTTGAAATGACATTGCAATGAGCTCCACCGCTCTATTCTTCCGTGTCAGTTGCTTCTAAGAGTAGTAATGCGCGATCGGAATGGTCCTGACGGCCCGAGAGCTCTTTATGGGGGCTGCAAAAGCCCTCGAAAATAATATCCAGTTGTGGCAGAATGATCCAGTTGTGGAAATTTCGTCCAGTTGTGTGAGAATGATCCAGTTGTGTGAGAATGATCCAGTTGCTGCAGCAGCCGTCACTCCAAGGTGGAAATGGGTTATTTCTCGTTGTCAACTCCGCCGCAAGAGTCTTTGGTGTCGACTGGTGTTGCAGGATAGCGTTCGGAGGACTAGTACCACTAGTAGCAGTTGTCATCGTCAAGGCGTCTAACACAGTTCGGTGAGTCAAGCGCTCTCGAGAGTTCTGGTTTCTTCCTTAAGTCCTGCCTTCAACTACTGTCATCTTTCAGTAGGACAAAAGTTGAGAAGACTTAAAGACTGCCGGACGAATGACGATTCGAGTCGTGGGTTTATCAGAAGCCTAATCAATTTTTGGAGCCATCCTAATCAATTTTTGGAGCCGCTCCAAAAATTAATTAGGATGGCTCCAAAAATTGATTAGGATTCTGATTATCCACGACTGACTCGAATCGTCTCACTGTCTCGCTCCAAGGAAGATCCCTTCCAAAACAAAGATGTCCTTTGGCTTTCTGTTGGAGTTCAATACATACGTGCAGTAGTACCGGTCCATAGCATGTCGTGGAGGGAACAGAGAAACTCATGGACGATCCTGGCCGTCTCTTCGGCTACGGCCGTGCTGGGCTATTATTCCTACTACTATCAATGGCAAGCGAAGCAAAAGAAGAAGGAGACACCAAAGCTACCACGCCGACTACCGACCAGTCGAGAGGATGCCAAGTGTCTACAGCCATTGACACTTCCCTGTGGACTGACACTCAAGAATCGCATCGTTCGAGCCGCTGCCTTTGGTGGATCTGATATCGACTCGCTATTACAGACGCATGTCGAAGTGGCCGAAGGAGGAGTCGCCATGACCACCGTGGCGTATGCGTCGGTCAGTCAGGATGGCATGACGTTTGCCAATCAAATACTACTGGCCCAACAAAATTTTCTACCAGATCTCCAAAAACTCGCCGACGCCGTGCATGCCAAAGGCAGTATGTTGTCGCTGCAATTGGCCCACGCCGGTTCCTTTGCCACTGCCAGCGTGACGGGGACACAAACCATCGCACCGTCCGGCATTTTCAATATCGCCGGATTCGATTTTGCCCGTGCCATGACCCGCGACGACATGGATCGGGTCGCCGCCGACTTTTTGCGGGCGGCATGCATGGCGCAAGAGGCAGGATGTGATGCGGTCGAATTGCATTGTGGGCACGGCTATTTGCTCAGTCAATTCCTTTGTCCCGCCACCAATACACGGACGGATGAATTTGGTGGGGCTTCTATTGAAAATCGATTGCGATTTCCCTTGAGAGTCTTGCGAGAAATTCGAAAGACAGTCACAATTGCCGTGTTGGTCAAGATGAATCTTAGCGATGGATTTGACGGCTTGTCGATCGACGATGCCAAGGCGGCGGCCGTGGCGTTTGGTAAAGCGGGGGCAGATGCACTTGTCTTGTCGGGTGGATTCACGTCACGGAATGGATTCTACATGCTGCGGGGAACCGTACCCTATTGGTCCATGGCACGAGCTTTGGGGGCGACCAAAGGATTGGCATTGCTGTTATTGGGAAGATGGTTGGTACCACGGATCGACTTTGAGGAATGCTTCTTTCTACAACAGGCACGACACGTTCTGGGGGTACTGCAGGACAACAACAATAATCTGCGACATGTACCTGTCTGTTTGATTGGAGGCGTCGTGTCGCTGTCGGGTATCGAAGGTGTCCTCGAGGAAGGATTCCATTTGGTCCAAATGGCCCGCGCTCTCATCCAAAATCCACGCATGGTACGGGATATTGAAGAGTCTCTTCCGTTACTATCATCATCATCATCCACCATAAAAACCAGCAATCAAACAAAGGCAACAACTTCTGCTGCTGTCAATGATGTTCGATCGAAATGCACGCATTGCAACGAGTGTGTTGTGAGCACCATAGACCCAACACGAGTCATGCATTGTCCCATCAAGGAAACACAACCACAGGATGACAACAAACTTGATTGGTAACAAACCATCGAGTTAGATGTGCGCTTGAAAACAGATCTTTTGGTTTAGAGAACACGATCAATCTACAGATGGATGGTTACCATGACTGGATGCACTCAACGAGTTTCGAATGATTCAGCCATCATACCGGTCTCCGTACCGTACCGTACACAGCAACAGTGCCGCACCTCGTGCTCCATGCATGCCATCGGTGGCCATCAGGCAGTCTTCTTCATGGCATAACGTTGCGAGCGAATGATACAGTGAGCGCCACCGGTACCATGGTGAAGAGATGCACCGATGCATTTATTTGCTAGGAAGCACCCCAAGCACTGGGCCACAAGGCGTTCAGCAAAAATCAAGTAGGAGCAAGATGCCGAGTCTCCACTATCAGAATCGGTTGATCACAACCTTACCGCTTCATACCGTACGGTACGGTAGGAGTGCAAAAAACTTTTGATGATCTTTGGGAGTGGTGGAGTGATTGATAAGTTGCCAGGGGACATGCCATGGTCAGGTCTGTCTGAAGGATGAGCTGACAGTGACTCGGGAGACACAGGGAGCCGAGGGAATGCAAAAGCGTGGATGATGAAGAGTTCACTGGTCCATAATGAAGACGTCAACATGGCCCCGGCTGGCTTCCGTAGATAATTTCCCTACTCTAAACCCCCGTTCCAAGACGCCAACATACATATTGTGCACCCTGTAGAGCAAACAAGCTATAGCTATAGGTAGATTCATTCGAGATGATTCGATTCCATCAAACCTTAGAATTTATGGACTACTTCTACTATAGAATGGCGTTGTCTTGTCTCGTAGATATTCTACCACTGTATCTTCCGAGTCTTTTGCCACTTGTACAAAGTCTACAATCTCATCGGGGCATGTCTCTTGCTGGACTCGAATGGCATCTTGTAGCACAGACTGAAAGGTGGCATCATCTTGGGCACCACGAATAAGCTCCATGCCAATGTACACATTGGGTGGCTCTCCCGAGTCGGGGACATAGACTTGGGCCAAGTAGGCTGCTTGCACCGCAGTGTTGTTGTGAAAAGTAGATTTTAGAGCTTCTGTCAATGCTACGGGATATTCCTTTGGCTGTCCCATGATGAGCTTGGTGCCAGTGGGGATGGTTTCTTGGGATGCTGCTGCTGGTGGTGGTGCTAGCAGAGATCCATCCAACAAACCGGCAATTTCTTGTGGGAAGAACTGTTTCCCATAAGGCAATCCTGGATTCAGCACAATAGCAGACCGATATTCCTTGACAAGCTCCAAAAAGTTGCGACACTCCAATTTGGCGTGTTTTGCCTGGTCATCTTGACATGCTTGACGGAGATTTTCCAGGGACGAAAAGAAGGGCAGAATCACCTTGGGTGGAGTATTGCTGCTGCTGCCTGATGGAGGATCGACCTGCCACTGTTGCAAATAGAGCCCACCACCCTGCTGCTGCTGAGAAGAAGATTCGGCTGCAACATCATCCACCGAGTTTACCACGTAGATCGACGAGTCCATCAAATCCCGAAAGAATTGGGGTCGATGATTCGGATCTGTGGCCGCCTTTTCCAAGGATTCCTCCAGCGCATTGACTGCCAAGCCACGTACTATCAGCAGTCGGCGCTGCAGTGCCGTTCGAGAAAAGGTGGACAGCATCTTGATCGATGGATCGAACCGGTTGACTGGTTGGAAGTGGATGGTCACAAAAATGAGGCCGCTTCATTTTTCTAAAAGCAGGGGGGAGGCAAACCAGTTCTTGTTTTAACCTTAAAATAGCCTCAAGCTTTACTCTGTCGCACAGTTGCCCGAGAAAACCCCGCCAGAGCAAACACAACACAACATTCAAACCAAAACACGGCATCTCAATTGTCCTTGTCGCCATTTCTCTTTTGGTTCCCTTCTTCTTGCCACCATGTCCGACGATACTTTTATTAGTGCTTGGACAGAGGACGAGATCCCTCTTTCGGATGCCTTTGCCTTGCTGGCTGGCTGGTGAAGCGCACTGTAATGTCTCGCTGCAAGGCAATGATGGGGGCGCGCCGATTCGTGCCAATCGCTCTGCGCTGGCTGTTCGAAGTCCCTACTTCAATACCATGTTCCAGGATGGAGGCTTTCAGGAAGCCAATCAAGATGTGGTCTCCATTGGATTTTCCAGTCCTGTTCTCAAGGCAAGGCGCTGGTGGAGTACATCCATGCTGACAATGCGAGCATTTTGGCAGATGCCGCGGATGGCGAATCTACAGAGCTTACCGCCGGTGTCATGGAGAAATTCCAGACAATGGTGTCATTGACGGAAGCATCCGTGTATTTTGGACTCCCCGGTCTTTGCAAAAAAGCCCAGGAATGTCTTTCCTCTCAGATGACAACCTACCCATCTCTGGCCTACGGCATTCTAGCAGCAGACAACCAGCCAGGACCCGTGATTTCCAACAATTTGAAGAAACAAGCTCTGTGGGTTGGTGTCAGCAACACTGGAAATCTTGAGAATCCTACTGTTCTTGGTGGATTTAGTTCTGGTACCTTAGCAGCTATTCTTGGGGATGAGGATTTGAAGATGGATGCCAAACAGATTTTCACTCTGTGCCATTCGTGGTCCAATTCTGAGCCATGCATTCCTGGTGAGACCAAAGAAGACCGCATCAATGCTGCCAAGACCTTGGTTCAAGACTACTGTACGTGAAACTGGAATTCTTCGACCCAGATGATTTGGAGAATCTGGTTGCTTCCTCTGGCTTGGTGACTGACAGCCAACTCGCAAGTGCCACCCAAAAACAAGCCAAAAGGGCCAAACATGAACACAGATTTTCCTTTCACGACCCTAGTGCACCTTGCCTACTGAAGTGGAAGAATGCCGAATCCGACAAAGTGGGCTCTTCCGGTTTCATTGGTTGGAAGAATGATTTTCTAGAGGGGTCTGGTTTTGGATGGGGGAGAAAGTATGAATGGACTGTCCACACAGATGGTACCACCGGGTCACCTTTGGTTTGGCTCGGTGTTACATCATCTCCAGACACACTCAATTTGAGAGGGTTCGGTGGATGTCTGAAGGATTGTTGGGGCATTTGTGGTGATGGCACCACATATTCTAATGGTCGCCATGCTGGGAAGTTCGGAGAGGAGGCCAAATTTGGAGCGCCGTCAAAGGTCATCCTGACTCTTGATTTGACAGAGGGCAATGCAGACAATGGATCCTTGTCAATCTCTGTCAATGGTTGGGGGACCTGCAAGGTGTTTTCGAATATGAGGGCACATCTGGACTGGAACACTCCTTTCTTTCTACCAGCGGTGTCATGCTATGAAGCTTCAGCAAAAATTGTGGATGTCCGGGTGCTCCCCTAATTTTATTATTCATGCCGATGATGCCTGGTTCTGACGAGGGCTTTGGCTGCCTAAAGTGGCTCCTCAAGGTTGCACTTCGGCAGTGTCAATATTTTGTCAAATTGGACCATTCTCAACAAGGGGGAACAGAACGTACCGATGGAGGTCTTACCAGGTAGCTCAACGAACGGTAACCCAACCAACCAAAGCTGTACAACAACAACAAAGCTGTATAATACAACAACGTTCCAAAACTACTATTATAATAATATAACTATTAACTATAATTTGAGTAGATCCGGCATTAAACTACACAATGCCGATGTTGGTTTCTTTTGCAGTTCTGCCAGCGATCCCGTTTCGACGACTTGTCCATCTCGTAGTACCACCACCACATCGGCCACTTGCAAACTCTGTGCCCGATGCGTAATGAGTAGCAATGCCTTTTCTGTTGTTTTGTTATTGCAAGCCATGACGGCATCGGTCAATGCGGTTTCCCCTTCGTGATCGAGTGCGGATCCGGCTTCATCGAGAATCAACAACATGGGATCACCAATCAATGCGCGTGCCAATGCGACGCGTTGTCGTTGTCCACCCGACAATTGGCATCCCTGGACACCCACTTTATAGTCCAATCCGCCGGGTAATGTTTTCAGGAATCCGTGGCAATTGGCCGCTGTCAGTGCTCGTTCCAATTGTTGTTCGGTAGCCTGTGGATTGCTGTAGAGGATATTGTCGCGAATGGAGACATTCAAAAGAGGTGCTCCTTGGGGTACCATTTGCACGAGTTTATTGTTGTTGTTGTTGTTGTTGGCATTGCGTGAAGCAGCATCAAAGAAATTGGTTCCATCCGGCAAGAGGGTAATATTCCCCAATTCGGGTGTATGCAAAAGTCCCGCAAGTAGTGATGCGACGGTGGTTTTTCCACTTCCATTTTTACCCACCAATGCCACCACGGAACCTCGTTTGAGTTCCATGGATACATTCCTCAAAACGGTCACGTCGGGACGTGATGTATAGGAAAATGTGACATTGCGCAAACTAATGGCTTCCACAGCCGTCACATCCACATCTTTGACAGGAGTAGTAGTATGGTCTTCATTGTCATCATTGTCATCAGTATCATTATGATGCCCGAGCAACAAATCGTGCACTCGTACGGCCGGTCCAACGGTCGTTTGATAGACTTCTCCCAGAGACTTGACAATCCCACTGGCGGCCAGCCCTAGTAAAAACGAATAAGTGGCAAAACTGGTCAATTGCCCGGATGTCATTTTGTGTTGGGCCACGGCGCGTCCTCCCAAATGAACGACCAAAAACAGCGCACTGGATGTGGCCGAAAACGTAAATCCCATAAAGGCGCCATTCGCCAATGCTTCCGTGCGGGCCATTTCCAAAATATCCATTTGGAGCCGCGTGTAAATCGCAATTTCATACTCTTGTCGACGACTCATTTGAACGAGGGCAATTTGGGCAATGCGTTCTTCCGAAAAGGCAGCGGCTTCTTGTGCCAACTTTGATTTGTGTTGCGAGAGTCGTTTGAGAAATTTGCGGAGTGTCATGGCGGCGGCACCAATCAAGGGCACCGTGGCGACACTGACGGAAAACAAGTGTGGATTGAGACGGAGCATTTGGAACGTCGACAGGACACAGGAAATGGTCGAGCGCAGTAAATTGGCCGTGGTGGCCGTCAGTGTATGAGCCACGAAAGTGACATCGTCGTTCAATATCGTTCCCACCACTCCGGGTGTCATGGTCATACTATTGCTGTTGCTATTGTTGGATGAGTGTGAACTGCTGTCACTACTGCTCGTTGGACTGGTGGGTGGTGCGGATTGTTGTTGTTGTTGTGCTTCTTTGGTAGTACTAGTAGATGTTCCTTGTTGAAACCACTCGACAGTCTTCTTCGTGAGCAACGCGGCAAAGACTTTGGAGCGAATTCTTGCCGCCACACTTTCTTCGGCTCGATTCAAGAGACATGTGCGTAGAAAACTCGCCGTTCCGCCTCCCAGCACTACCAGACACAATGACCAATAGGATGGTTGTGATTGTGATTGTGCATGCGAAGTCTTGTTTTGATCCAACAATCGTCCCATGAATTTCGGCAACAGCGTATTGGATGCCGACGAGACCATCATGGCCAAACAGCCAATCATCAAGGTCGGCCATTCCGGACGCAATTCATCCCATAGCCAGTCTCGTAGTCGATGCGTGTCGTCGTCGTCGTTGCTGTCATGACTGCTTCCTTGACTACTACTACTGCTGCTGCTCTTGGCATTACTAGTAGTCGGAGACATACTTCTTATACAGACACAAACAAACAAGGCAACAACAGTAACAGACAGATGGATGAGAAGAGCAAACTGTTGTTCTGAGAAAAAGAATAATGAGAAAGCAGGGGTATCCGGTGGAAGAGAGACGTTGAAGTGTCCCAACGTACCTTTGCGCGCAATTGGCGCGGGTAGCAATAACACTGCTTAGCCGCGAAGCTACCGTACCTACCCCAATGTGCGGTAATACTAGTACTAGCTAGCACCAGAGGCGCGAAGAATCGAATCTATGACCCCCAGATCCCGTAGACTGATCGATTTTCTGGTACTCAGAAATCCTCTACGCGCCGCGCGCGTAGACCTGGTACATAATCGCTGACGTGTCTGACACCAGAAAAAAGCAACGGGCCAAACACGCTAGAGGGGCAGCTTTTGTAGTTGTTTTTGTGGGGGTAGGATCCTTTGGAGGGGAGCTGGGTATCTCAGGGGGGGGCTGTGGAAACTTATCAAAATGCAGCCAAGCCTGGAGATACAAGAACTCAAGTCCTACAGGAACTCTGTTGTTGTTTGTTTGTTTGTTCCTCTTGAGAGGAGTTAGATATCAATGGAGGGGTGGTAACAGTAGAAGGTGTCGATCAGTCACTCAGTCTGTTTAGGGATAGGACTGGTTGGTTCAGTAGGATCAGTTTCCAACAAGGACGTCGGGAGAGAACACTAGTGGCCGGTGAGAAAGTAAGAATACAGGTGTAATTCTCTTCTCGGTGGTCACTGCAGGTATCTCTTGAAGTCCTTCTTGATGATGGAGGCTGTCGTTCGATCCGTAGGGAGGAAGAGGTACGTTCGCGGGAAGATTGATGGATTCACGGAGTAGCGAGTCTTGATTCGATTTGATTCGATTGGATTCGATTCGATTGGTTGAATCGAGTCGATTCGAGGTTCGGGTGAGTCAGGTGCCTTAGGGGTAAGGTTAAACGAGCCTGTTGTTGTTGATGAAGAAGATCGATCGTTCGAAAAAAAGGAGAAGCGACAATGGGATTTCTTCGGGCGTCAGGAGCTTAGTTCAGAAAGCAACAATGATACGTATGGGAATTGTTTTCTGTACTGTGCTGTGGAAGGCCGGAGACATCTTCTTGTGGTCAATTCTTAGGATCAGTTCCCACAAGGACGTCGGGAGGAACCTAGAGTGGCCGGTGAGAAAGTAAGAAATACAGCTTGGTTTCTGTTCTCGAGCGGTCACTGCTGGTATCTCGTGAAGTCCTACTTGATGATAGTAGGCTTCGTACGGAGGAAGAGGTGCGTATCGGAGGAGAGGTACGTATCGGGGAAGAGGTACGTCGCGGGGGAAGATTGATCGATTCACGGAGTAGCGAGTCGTGGATTCGAATCGATAATTCGATTCGATTTCGCGATTCGGTTCAGGATCGGATGAATCAGTGTCCTTAGGGGTAAGGTTAATCGATCCTATTGTTGTTGCGGAATGATGAATCGTTCGATCGTACGCAAAGGGTGACAATGGGATTTCTTGGGCCGTAGACAGTGAGAGAACAGAAAGTAACAAATGAGTATGTTTTTCTCTTCTATTCTGGCACTGCAGAAGACCGGAGACTTCTTTTTGTGTTCAATTTCTTCCACTTGGCCGTCGGTGGTCGAGAATAGAAAACCCGGCCGATCTCGTAGGATTTCAATTGGGATGGCTTTCTAATCTGGACCGGAGAACGCCGCGTTGATAGTCGCTTTGTAGCAGAGGTGCAGGAGATAGGAGGTATCTATCCTTTTCGTCTTGAATATGTTGTAAAGAGAGGAAAAGGGATGTGTGTTTTCGTGTGACGTTGAGTGATTCCTATTAGTAAAACAGTACTCATTAACAGATAAAGATAACAGCTTCCTGATGTCCTTTTCGCTTCGTTTCAATGCTCTAATGGTGCTAATAGGTAGTGTAATGGTATAGTTTGACCGATTGGTGTGTTTGTTGCTATCAGTGGTTGTTGTTCTTGTAGTGGACAGAGTCCAGAGGGGAAGCGCTTCGGTTTCGGCTATCCCTTGAAAAGTGAGAAGGAACTTTCAGTATCGGAGAAACTCTGAAAGAGTTCAGTAACATTCTCTAGGACGAAAGATCGTTGTACATACGGAGCACAAGAATCTTACATGTAAGAACTTCAATACCTATCGCGTAACTGCGATGGCGCCTTATTCTGGAAGAATACGGCCTGGAACTACGGTAATCAAGGGCGAACAGAACATGTCGCTGATACGAAGCGTTGTTCGAGACTTAACATCTCGCACAACGAGGTTCTTCAGAACAAATGGACGCCAGCGAGATCGCTGACTCATAGGCTCAACCGGAAGAGGCTGAGGTTCCCTCTCTCGTGTCCCGAGATCGAACATCGACAGAAAACGACAAGAGATATCAAGAAGTCCTCAGGGACAAGCCAAAGCGACTACAAGAAAGCAATCTTTCCCCAGAGGGGAAAGTCCTTAGACTTAGTAGTTAAGGATCGAAAAATCGTCGTACCTTAAACTATGGCAGAAGGAAGCTAGTTGAATGGTATCGGATGGGTGGGCTGATGCATCCTGGGAGACTCGCACGGAAAGCTAGACCATCAGCCAACACTAGCACTGGAAAGGGCTGCGCAGGATGTCGCAGGCCGTATGTCAGCGTTGTCCAAAGCTGCCAGATGAAACAACCCAAGACGCGTAAGCAGGGATTGATGCATCCAAAGACTTGCGAGGAGATGCCTTGGGAAAGACTATGTTATGACCTGATAGGTCCCTTAAAACGTCGGGGAACCCAAGAAAAAGAATTCTCACACTTCATTCTTGCAAATGATTGATCGTAACGCGGATGGTTCGAGATTTGCAGAGATCTGCTCCAAGGAGCAGGACGAAGTAGCCATCCGTCTAGAACAGAACGTGGCTTACACGTATCCATGGCCTGTGAGGTTAACATGGATAGAGACGTTGTTCGCGCAGAGTCGAGAAAGACATCCGGGATGAATATGGACTTTCGTCGGCAAGTTCATACCATACTACGCGTAAACACTCAAGCCAACTCTATGTGTCGAGCGTGTCTCATCAACTCCATACGTAACTTGATCGCTGGTTCAAAACATCAAGTGCCAAGACGACCTCGTGAATGGATCCTGGGATTGGAGGTCCTCACGGCGTTCGCTTTGCAATGAATGCAACGATTCATACCACCTTGCGTGCAACGCCCGCACAGGCTCGTGTTCAATCGTTGACGCGATTCACAACGTCCGTTCGAAGCCAACTGGAAGTACATTTAGGAACGTCGCCAACGACAAATCCAACAAAACAACGATAGGGAAACGCAACGCGTGTCCTCATCAATACAATGTCAACGATACTGTGATGATTCAACAGTATCAGACCGCAAGTACGGTCAGCAAAGTACAAAGGTCCTTACACCATAGACCGAAGTCAATGACAATGGCACTGTAACGGCTCCAACATGCTACCGCCAACGGCGGCACAGTCTACCAGACTTGGAACATAAGGTATATACACCCATACAAGGCTGATCCCCTTGTAGGATTGCCATCGTGCGACGCACATGTCTACATCCAAATCTCATGAGAGTGCCCCGCACTTTAAATCATATGTTCTCTGTCCGACTGCTGTCGCGCCTTCTGTGACCCTTGTCAGGGGGCGAAATGCAATACACGGCTTCCTTAGCCTTATTCGCGACTCGATCCTAGATAGGGTTTGAGTTCGACTCATGACCGAGTCTCTCGTGAATAGTCATTGGAGACAGGGTTCTCATGACCGCTAGTCATACTAGGTTGATGATGAAACATCGCTCTAGATATTTAGCCAGCGTGGAGTACTTCCACGCTACTAGATCCAGGCTAGACAAACCTTCCACGCGTTCCGTTTTAGGATCGTGGAGAGACGTAGGATTACTACCACAACCTACTCTATCACACTTTATAGTCTCGCCGCGGGAAGCCAGATCTACGATCCCTTGATGATATCTCTCTCGTTGATTAGTTTTCATAGCTTTCTAATCTCTCTCATAACTTTCATTCTCTCAAACTCAAAACACTCGAAAGATCTTTACACTAGCTTTTAGCGTAGTGCACTTTCGCGATTCCTTGGACCTCCTTCCAGAAGAAACACAGGTGGTGCAGAGGAACAAGGCCTCTGGCTTCTTCAAGATTGCCAAGGATGCACTGACCAATCACTTCCGACGATGGGCCAACAGGCGACTTCTACCAGCGGCACTTCTCTCTGAAGAACCAGCGGCAGTGGTGGTGGCTTATGTCATTCTTGGGAAGCCTTACCGTGTCACTCACCAGCAAGCCATCTGGAAGTCTACTGTGCATGGGTATACCTTTGACTTGCAGCGGTTCCATGATTGGTTGGTACAAGAAACGTCCAACGAACACGCAACCTCACAGTACACTGAGTATCCACCCCTGTGCACTCACGCGGCAACTATGGTCCTGGATGGTTATGACTTTCGAAACAAGAAGGAGAACAATGACAATGCATTCAAACAGTGGCTTCTCACCATGTACCTTCCCATTGCTTGCCACACCCACTTCGTTGAGGCAGGTGTCAAAGAAGCGAAGCTTGTCTCGCAAACTGACCGCTCAGAGCAACTCCGCTCTGCCATTGCCATCATCAGATCTGCTGATGTGCACAATGCAAACAACTTGAAGCCATTGGCTGACCTACCAAGTACTGATAGGATCCTTCATCTCATTGAACAATGCAACAGCTCACAATGACAAGCATGTGGTTTGGGCCAAGACTAAGAAGGAAACATACAAAGGCAGATTGGATGACATCCAGAAGGTCTTGAAGATAGAGCATTTCAGGGTGCAGAGACTGGAGGACCTCAAGCATGAAGCCATCAAGAAGGGAGCCATCAACAAGAAGGAAACCAGAGGCAGAGGAATGGTGGAGTGGACCCATCTGACAACATCAATGGCCTCAAAGAGGTATGGCAAGCTCAGGGCTGCCTACCACTCTGATGATGTCAAGCAAGAGTTGATCCACAGAGG